CTTGTAAGCAGCAGAATGTTGGATCCTGTTTTCGTATCCAATCTCTAAGTCTGTGCCTTTTTATAGGTGAATTGAGTCCATTGATATTAAGTGATATTAATGACCAGTGGTTGTTGACTCTGGTTATTTATTTATTCATTTATTTCGGGTAGTAGAGTGTATGTGTTTCCCTTCTTTGAGTTGTGCTTGTGAAGGGTCGCTAGATGTCTGAGTTATTGTAGGCGGTGTTGGGAATGTTGGATTCCTTGGGTTGTGATTTTCCTTCTAATACTTTCTGTAAGGCTGGATTTGTAGCTACGTATTGTTTAAATTTGCTTTTATCCTGGAATATTTTGTTTTCTCCGTTGATAGTGAACGATAGCTTGGCTGGGTATAGTAGTCTGGGCTTGCATCCATGGTCTCTTAGTTTCTGCAGTACCTCTATTCAGGACCTTCTGGCTTTCATGGTTTCCATAGAGAAGTCTGGTGTAAGTCTGATAGGTTTACCTTTATAAGTTACTTGATCTTTTTCCTTTGCAGCTCTTAATATTCTTTCTTTAATCTGAATGTTTTGTGTTTTGATTATTATATGGCGAGGGGATGTTTTTTTTTTTTATCCAGTCTATTTGGTGTTCTGTATGCTTCTTGAACCTTCATAGGGATATCATTCTTTAGGTTGGGGAAGTTTTCTTCTATAATTTTGTTGAATATATTTTCTGGACCTTTGATATGCAATTCTTCTCCTTCTTCTACCCCTATTATTCTTAGATTTGGGTTTTTTTTTTATTGTGTCCCACATTTCCTGAATGTTTTGTGATGAGAATTTGTTGGATTTGCTGTTTTCTTTGGTCAGAGCATTTATTTTCTCTATGGTGTCTTCAGAGTCTGAGATTCTTTCTTCTATCTCTTGTATTCTGTTGGTTATGCTTGTTTCTGAAGTCTCTGTTCATTTACCTAGATTTTCCATAGCCAGCCGGCCCTCCGTTTGTGTTTTCTTCATTGCCTCCATTTCAGTTTTCAAATCTTGAACTGTTTCCATTACTTGTTTGAATGTTTTTTTCTTGGTTTCCCAGAATTTCATTTACGAACTTACTCATCTCTTCAAACTTTTTGTTATAATTCTCTTCCATTTCTTTACTCATTTTCTCAATCTTTTTGTTATACTTATCTTCCATTTCTTTACGGCAGATTTTCACCCCCTGTTTAAGTTCCTCTATTATTTTCATATAGATCCACTTAGAGTCGATTTCTTCTATTTCTTCTGGAGTAGGGTGTTCAATTCTAGTTTCGTGATCCCTGGATTCTGGTGATGTCATGTTGCCTTTCAGGTTGTTGGAGGAATTCTTGCATTGGCGCCTGCCCATCTCCTCCTCTCTGGATGAAACTCCTCAGCACTCTCTGGATAGAACTTCTCAGCACTCTCTGGATAGAACTTCTCAGCACTCTCTGGATAGAGCTCCTCTACACTCTCTGGGTAGAACTCCTCAGCACTGAAACAGGGACAGCTGGTATTCCAAGGACACAGGAGACAAAAGGGCAGCGGCAGTGGGGGCAGGGAGGAGTCCCGTGGAACACTAAAGACCCTGCCGCAGAAGCTGAGAGGGGAGGGGCTGTGCTCTCTTCCGGGGCAGACGGCCCCCGGCAAGCACCCACTCACCTCTCTGGATAGAACTTCTCAGCACTGAAACCAAATTTAGTTATTTTTAAGCATAAAGTTTCCTATGTCTAAGGCTGGCTTCACGCTGAACATGTAGGTGAAGATCATGTTGAACTCCTGATCTTCTTGCCTGTGCCCACCATTGCTGGGGTCAGAGGACTGTGCCCCCACACATGATCCGTGTGGTGCTGGGGAGGAACACGATAGCTCATCCCTGCTACACACACTCCACTCCCTTGGTTTCTCGCACTGTCATTTTTTTCCAAATATTTTTGATCTGTGGTGGGCTGGAACCAAGGTTGTGGAACACACAGCTACAGAACAGATATAATTTATTGTAGTCCTGAGCTAAAGTCGTTAAAATTACAGATTGGATGATACCGGGTTCTTTTTTTTTTAAATATTTATTTATTTGTTATTATGTATACAACTGTCTGCAGGCCAGAAGAGGATACCAGGCTTCATTACAGATGGTTGTGAGCCACCATGTGGTTGCTGGGAATTGAACTCAGGACCTTTGGAAGAGCAGGCAATGCTCTTAACCACTGAGCCATCTCTCCAGCCCGATACCGGGTTCTTAATGCCTCTTATCCTCCTATGCCTGGTGGACATTATCAAAAACTGAAGGAAACAAAACTGAATGATTCTGAAGCCATGACACTAAGGGACTTGAAAACTAATGTTCTACTGCAGCACGGTCACCTAGAAACATGCGGATTGGACACGCTCTCTTTAAACATTACCTTTCCCTAGTGAACCACACTTCTTTGTAAACAAACAAACAAACAAAACAACAACAAGGAAGTCATTATTTTTAATTATGTGAGTGATGGTATTCACAGAGACCAGAGATGTCAGATCTCCCTGGAGCTGAAATTATGGGTAGTTGGAGTCACCTGGCCTAGATGTTAGTACTTAGGACTTCTGCAGTTACCCACTCTGAACTGCTGAGGCATCTCTCCAGTCCCACAACCATGCACTTCTTGAGGGAAGGATTTATTGACTTCATTTATTTTATTTTATTGCATTTTATTTATTTGGTTTTTCGAGACAGGGTTTCTCTGTAGCTTTGGGGCCTATCCTGGAACGAGCTCTGTCGACCAGGCTGGCTTCAAACTCACAGAGATCCACCTGCCTCTGCCTCCCAGGTGCTGGGATTAAAGGCGTGCACCATCACTGCCCTGCTTGACTTCATTTCTTTATTCATCGGGCCAGCAATGTACCTGCTACCTGGTAAAGCTTAAGTGTTTGAGGGCGTGAGTGAGTGGAGGTTTGTTGTTGGCAGAGCTGAGGTGAGGGATGAAGTGATGTAGTGACCAAGGGGAGGAGACCAGAGTGAGATGTTAAGAAAGGCTGTCACTCTATGGAGTCACAGACACGGCTGTACCTCTTCAGCCAGAAGCCTCAAGGGGGCCTATCTCTTGAACAAAAAGGATCAAAGACATATCCAAGAACAAAATTAATTACTTTGGGTGGCATTAGCCTTCTTATCTCCTGAAACAGAGGTAGGAATGAAGGAGAAGGGGTTCTGTTGTCAATGGAGAGACTAAGCATCTGTGTTATGCTGGCTTTGTGTCCAGAATGGGGCTGAGCACACAGAAGATGCTTAAACATTTGCTAAACAAGTGAACAGCCATTTTCTATTAGCCAAAGATTCAGATTTCTCAAAAGTATCTGTGTGTTAGCTCTGAGCGAAAACCATAGTTCAGTTCTCACCAAGGACCATGGCTGGGGGCACAGGGTGGAGACTACCTGTCTAGATTTGAAACTTGGCTCTGTCATTGAATTTAATTGGTTGTACCCCTGTTTCCAAGCCTGTAAAGTGGGGGACAAGATAGTACCTGCTTACAGGAATTATTTTGATAGCTAAGTGGACTAGCATTTGGTATCAACATCTTCTGTGCTAATGATGGTTACTATGATACCATGTAGGTCTAAGGGATTGGACCTTTGTTATTAGGTTTGGCAGCAAGCACAAGACATCTTGTAGGCCCCATAGTGTACTATTTTGATTGTAAGGCCAGATTTCTTTCTAATCTCATATTTCTTATGATTTTTTCTTTCTTCTACTCTGGTTGGTCAGCTGACCACCCTTTAATTCTCCTCTGTTGATGTTTGCTGTTTAGGATGCATAAAGACAGTTTACAGGCTGCCTTGCCCCCAACTGGAGTGTTGGAGAAGTTAATCAGGCACAGTGTTGGCAGGTTTAGCATATCGTGTGCAAAGGTTTGGCATCAGGGAAACCCCAGGATATAAAGGGGATGGCGGCTGTTGTGTGGCTGACACACAGTACACAGGATGTGCACATAGGGAGGAAAAAGAGGTTGGAGAGGGGCACAGAGCCAAGATAATTTGAACTTCAGTTCAAGGGTATTGGAAGTTGCATAACGTAGACTTCCCATGTGATCCTGGGCATAACAGGGTCTCTCTCTTCCTCCCTCCCTCCATCTCTCCCTCCTCTCTCCTTCTTCAGAGTCTAACTATGTAGCCCTGACTGGCCTGGAACTTGCTATATAGATTAGACTGATCTTTAAGTCACAGAGATCCTCCTGCCTCTGTTGGCATTAAAAGTATGCACCACCATGCCCAGCTTGCAGTAGCTTTTATTTTATTTTTTTCTTATAAATGAAAACAATTAACTACAGTGGCTCATTATAGTTTCAGAGTTTCAGTCCATTATCATCATGGCGGGGAGCAGGGAGGCATGCATGTAGACATGGTGCTGGAGAAGTAGCTGAGAGTCCTACGTCTTCCATCAACTGAGATGAGACACCAGGCGGTATCCTGAGCATAAAGCCCTCCCCACAGTGAAACACTTCCCTCAACAAGGCCACACCCACTAATAAAACTTCCTAATAGTCACACCTCCTAATAGTGCCCTCCCTATGAGCTCATGGTGGCCAATTACATTCAAACTACCACATTCCACTCCTAAAACCCATAACCCTGTAAAAATACCATAATGCAAAATATATTTAGTCCAACTCCAAAAGTCCCCATAGTCTGTAACAGTCCCAAATGTAGCACAAATTCTAATTGTTCTTAATAATAAAAACCTGGAGTTAGCTATCAGGGACAAAAGCCAAATGATCAGAGAAGCAGAGAAATTCTTACCTCTACCAATGCTCAGACCGAAGGGGAGATCCTGTCTATGAATCCTCAGACTGCCTCTGGGCTCCTGTCCCCTGCCTTCTATTTCTCTCTCCACCCAATCATATCACTCCTGTCTCCACCTCCCTAGTGCTGGGATTAAAGGCGTGGGATCCCAACTGCTGGGATCAATCTTGTGTAGCCCAGGGTAGCCTTAAATTTACAGAGATCCGTCTGCCTCTGTCCCCTGAATGCTAGGATTAAAGGTGTGGCCACCACTGCCTGTCCTCAATGGCTATCTAGTGGCTTAGCTCTGCACTCTGATCTTCAGGCAAGCTTTATTTGTTAGAGCACAAACAAGATATCACTACAGCCAAGTTATGATTCAAGGTGACCACACCATTTTACAACCCACCAACTCTTTTCTAAAGCAGCTATGCTGGTGGCTGCAGTCCTGTCCCACTGTGGTTTGACTTGTGATTAGTAACACAGGCATCTTCTGGTGTGCTGCGGGCGATTTGTGCCTCTTATCCCCTTTGCTCAATTTAAAATGAGGATGGTCTGAATATTTGAGACTTTATCTTGGGTACAAGTCCCTTCTCGGATACTTGACTTGCAGATATCATCTCTCATTCTGCGGATTCTAGTTTGACCTTCTCTATGATTTTATTAGTTCCTTTTCTTGTTGCCATGAAAACAAAACCCAAACCAACCCTTACAGGGGAAGGGCTTATTCTGGCTCACATGTGAGGGGATGTGGGGATAGGAGCAGGAGGTGGGTGGTCTCACTGCAGCTGCACTCAGGAAGCAGAGAGGCCAGGTGCTTCTACCCGGCTCACTTTCTCCTCTTGTTCAGTCTGGGGAACCAGCCTAGTGCCGCCCATGTTCTGGGATGTTCTTCCATTATCGGTGAAAGCTCTCTGGAAACTCCCTCAGATGTAGCTGGAGGTGTGTCTCCTAGGCAATTCCAAATCCAGTTCCCATCCAATTGATAAGGAAGGTTGATCATCATCACAGCGGTGCACTCTGAAACATAAACTCTTTAATTTTGAAAACCCAAATATGTCTTCTTTTCGTTCTTATTCAGGGGTCATTAATGAATGTCTTTATTTTCTTCTGGGTGCCTGATAGTTTTAGCTTTTACACTTAGGTCTACAACCCATCTTGAATGAACTGTTAGGCGGTTCAGCAAAGGCTGTCTTTCAAAACACAGTCCACGACACTCTTGTTTAATTTTTTTCCTGCTTGCTGTTGCTCTGAGAACAAAACCCAACCTTCTCTCCTCTTCCCTTGTAGACATGGCTGCTTTCCAACAGTGTGGGCCATGGGGACGCCTTCCTTCCTCGGAGCGCTGCACAACAGCCCCTTAAACTCCAAACACAGAGTGCTTGGTGGCTACTCTCGCCCTTCAGGTTTAGGCATTCGTTCTTTTGTGGGGTCTTTGCCGCCTACCCTACCTACAGCCCTTTCCCTGATGTCTGTGCATTACATGTATGCAATGCCCATGAAGGCCAGAAGAGGGCGACAGATCCACGGGAACTGGAGTTACAGGTGGTTGTGCGCCACCACATGTGTGCTGGAACTCAAACCTAAGACCTCTGGAAGAATAACCAGTGCTTATAGCTACAGGATCATTTCTCTAGCCCCTATATTTATATTTCAGTGACCGTGACAAAAGGTTCTTTTGTACCCAGCACTATTTCCCACTTTTTGCTATTTGTTTTGACCTCTAGCCTCTCTTTGACATCACTCTTTGCCTAGATTTTCTTCATTCCTTGTTTTCATAGGGCAAAATATTCATTCTGGCTTTTTAGTGTCTTCTTTCTTTTCATTCCTTATCTTACTGCTTTTTCTATAAAAATGCATGTTGAAGCCTGGCAAGATAGCTCAGCAGGTAAAGGCATCTGCTACCAAACCTGTCAACCCGAATTTGATCTCTGGGAACTACAGATGGAAGGAGAGAATTGACTGCCTCCAACTGTCTCTAAGGACAGTTACATGTACATGTCTGTCTGTCTATGTCTCTGTCTATGTCTCTCTGTATGTCTGCCTCTCTCTCTCTCACACACACATACACATTGGAATTCAACTTCTTTTTCTAAAAAATAATTTATTTATTCTTATTTTATGTGCATTGGTGCTCTGCCTGCATGTTCCTCTGTGTGAGGTGTCATATCTTGGGGTTACAGACAGTTGTGAGCTGCCATGTGGGTACTGGGAATTGAACCCAGGTACTTTGGAAAATCAGTCAGTGCTCTTAACTCTTGAGTCATCTCCCTAGCTCAGAATTCAACTTTTTAGCTCGCATATTTTTTTTCTTAAACTTTCTCAATAGAAGCTCACCATGTTTTCAAATAAGTAAGATTTTTCTCCTAACTAAAGAAGCTCACTCTAAGACCCAATTTTTTTTTTTTTTAACTCAGGGAATTATTGGCTTATAGCGGGGCAAGAAAATCTCCATAAACACAAGAAGGCTCATCATCGGCACTTTAAAAAGGTTCACTGAGACTCCGACAGGCTTTAAAACGTCATAAATTCCAAATCGATGGATTCAGAAATTGCTGCAGCCATATGACAAATTTAATTAGTTAAGCAGTTTTTGTGTGTGTGTGTGTGTGTGTGTGTGTGTGTGTGTGTGTGTGTGTGTAGAAATGGGCCGAAGAGATGGCTAACCAGTTAAGAGCACCTGCTCTTCCAGAGGCCATGAGTTCAGTTCCCAGCACCTACATCAGTTGGCTCACCACCACCTGCAGCTCCGGCCCCAGGGGTCTGGTGTCCTCGCCTGGACTCTGCAAGCACCTGCACTCACACACAGGCATTGCCCATCCTCTAAACTAAAAGGCCTGCTGAATAATTCCTTGCAGGTGGAGAAGCTGAGGCCTTGGCTTACTGATGCGTCTCTGCACACCTTTCTGCCTGCTATCAGTTCGGCAGGATTACCATCCTAGGAAACACACCTCCATCTCTGTGTTAAGCTCCCTCCTTCACGCTGATAGGAATTCTTTTGATGAAGACCTCGGTCAGAAACACAGCAAAAGACCGGCTCACCCAAAAGCATCTCATTTTGAAACATTCTCCCTACCCCCCGCCCCCCTGGTTTGCCATCTTGCTCACCATTTACAGCTATCCAAATATCTAAGAAGCAAGCCCCAGAGATGATTGAAACTTTTGATCCGAGAAATAACTCACACATTTGTTTTGCTTTGCTTTAACCTTCAGAGCTGTGCATCATGCTGACAAGTTCTCAGGGTTTTTTTTTTTTATTATTTTTTGAAGATTTTTTTTTCCTTCGGGTTTTCTCCTTCTTTCATTGTGGTAATATTTTCTCCTATCTTCCATCTTCAAAAGAAAGAGGGAAAGAAAGAAAAGTAGGTATCAGCTAATCAGCTCTTACCAACTTCCCCGCAAGAACAAGGCAGAGAACCTGAAGACATAAATCAAGGATTGTTATTATTGTTTATGTGGTGGTGATGTATGGTTCCCCTGGGCTCTGCGTTTTACGTGGCTACTTTGAAAACACAGGACTCTGCTCAGGTACGAGCGATTTGTTCCCGAGCCCTGTCTGGATTCCTAATAAATATGACCTGCCTCTGATTTTATGCTATCCACAAGATAGTCACGTAACAAAAATATTTTCAGATACCTTGTATTAAGTCTGTATTGTCAACAAGGAGACAACGAGCCAGAATTTCCAGGAGAAACCATTAGCTGTAGTGTAGAGGAAGTTTTGTGGACAGCCGCTGCTGTGATGATGTCACGTCCAGGACAGTTTCCAAGGGTGACTATGCACTGGGTAAGCTGAGTCGCTTCTAGATGGGAAATTACGGGTGATTTGGATAATATTTTACTTTTAGGACATATCTATACTCATTTTTTTTTTCATTGCGAATATATGTTACTCTTGAAATGAGAAAGATTCTTTTCAATGATTAGTCCCTAGGAAGAGCTGATAACACTAACCCTAAAAATAGAATGAGTGACTTTAATGGGATGCGGGGATGTGGGTTCCGGGACGTGAGAAGCTGATCATCTTCTAGGTGTTTCTGAGCTTGTAGCGAGCCGCTCTCTGCTAGCTCTGAGACAGTCCTGGGCGCCGGCTGGCCTCTGCATCGCTTGTCTAAGCCAGGCTAATAGCCCACTTGCCCGGGGGTGGGGGGGGGGAGCAGAAGCGGACTGCATCCCCAGTGGGGACTGGATTTGCCGACCATTCCCAACCCACACCTGGCTCGTTTCTGTCCAGCTCCCGACTCCTGGCTTTCTCTTTCAGCTGAAAACCTGTGCTCCCTTCGGACCATCCTTAAGGTTGGTGTGGGCTCCCACAGACCTACATCAGGGCCCCTCGTCTCCCGCTTCCCTCCCCCCCTCCCACTGCTCTGAAGATCATCAAGGGAGGACACTGTGCCTTTGTTTCCAGCCTCAACTTTGCTTAAGTGCTTCAGCTTGCCTTCTTTGGGAACAGATGAACTTAGGGGAAACAGCCCAAAAGCATAGGCTAAAAGACGTACCATTTCAGAGTGTAGCGACACACTATTTCAGACATTGGCTCCAGGAGACTATTCAGGTACATGAACCAGAATGGCCACATGCACTGGGTATGACCATGCTTGTCCTGACTGGCATGTCCCAGGCCTCATCAGTTGTTAAACGTTCTAATAGTCTCAGAGTAAAGTTTTCATGTTGTACATAAAAGCTGGCTTGGTGCGCGGCTTAAGCCTTGCCATTCGCCACCTCTAAGCTTTTGTTCACACTTTGGGAAGCGGTCAAGGCTGCTTCTGCCTTTCCCACCTCAGATAGTTAAGTGTGATGATCGCGTTGTCATGGCAGATGAAGAAGTTCTCTGTAAGCTGTGAGGGATGGTTCCCAGGCAAGGGGAGGATAAATGTGATGGACGATAGCCATGTTGACGCTGAAGGTCAAGGTGGTGGGGATAATAAAGAATAAAAAGAAGGCAAACTTGGGAACACTGTGGACTACCCTCTTCCAGCTCAATATGCTCCTAACACTGCTCCCTGGCTCGCAATTCACAGTAACAGGCAGACAGAAACACATAAACCGGCTGCGCCAGCCCTCCCCACTCTACGCCATTGTGGCTCCCAGGTTGTTTGCTGGCCAAGTGCTGATAGGCGCTTCTCTTTGTCTGTGGGCATTCATTCTGTGATTTATTTCACGTCCGGGCTGGGAAATCCTTCTGCCCTGTAATTTCCAACACTTGGGACGCTCTTGATGTTCATTTAATGATCTGCGAGGACCCGAGCCAGCAGAATGGAAGGGCTGAATGACCCCACTGGGTTCTCGCACCCTTGACACTCAAGTTTGAGCAGGATGCTTATGTGCCCCCTTATGCGCCATGCTGCATGGCCCCCAAGCCCATTCTGCAAAGTGTCTGAGATGAGTGATGGTTTGGGCAGGTGGGGGTTAGCATTCAGCTTCCTTTCTTCCGCCTTTTCTTTCTTGTTTGTGGCTGCCCACCCATCCTTATGTGAATACCTTAGGACTTCATGAAGTCACAGAGGACACCTGTTAGCAAGAGCCCTTGCTCTGGCAGGAAGGCACAGAACATCATGGAGTCTGTTCCACAGAGGAAGCATGTACTCTCAGAATTCCAGAGAAATGAATTTAATCTTTGGGCAGCAGAGTCTGAGGACCTGGTACAGGTACCTGGAACAGGGACTCTGGAAAGGGATGTGTTTGCTTTATGTGCAATAAAAGCCCTTCCTGCAGAGGGCTCTCCTGTCTGCTGAGACTCTGCTGTCCCTTCATGAACCTCAAAGGAGCCTGGGGGATTTTTTTTCCTCCCTTCACTCATGCTTTGGGATCAAATGTTTGTAAGTCACACGGCATGGGCTGGGGATGTAGCTCGGTTGTTAAGAGTGCTTGCCTAGCATGCAGGGAAACCCTACACTGGATCCATAGTAACTAGTAACACAAAATCAGGTGTGGACGTGCACACCTCAGACCCCAGGACATTGGAGGTAGAGACAGGAGGATCAAAAGTTCATGGTCATCCTTGGCTACATAGCAAATTTGAGGCCAGCCTTGGATATATAAAATTTTGCCTAAAAAAGAAATACAGTATGTAAAACAGCAGGGTGAAGATAACAGGTGCCAGGCACTACTATTGCAAAAGCCCTGTTATATACACAAGGGTCCTCACAGTGAGGAGGGGCCCTTTCCCGTGCTGTCACATAACCCAACTTTATACACTACCTTCAAAGGAGGTTTATAATACAGCCACAAAAACACACATGTATGTATGTATTGTCATCTTATGTTTCGTCTACATGCATATCCATGCACCATGTGCAGCCTGGTGCCTGCAGGGGCTAGAGGAGAGCATTGCATTCCCTGGCTGGAGTGCAGTTGACTGTGAGTAGGGACTCAAATCCGAGACCTCTGGAAGTGCCCTTAACTAGTGAACAATCTCCCTAGGCCCCATGGTATTTCTGATGACACAGAAGGCCTTGCTTGACCTCTGACAGAACTGACTGTGAAGCATCCAGCTGCCTAGTTTTTGAAGGAGTTCTATTTGGTTGTTATACTGACCTATTGACAGCCCTGTGCAGTTGGAATTACTACCTGTCCCTTTGCACAGAGAGGTGAACTGAGGCTCTCTCCAAAGTCACATGACTAGACAGAAATGGAGCTGGGGTACAGTCCAGACTGGCTGAATGCTAGAGCATCTCCACACACTGGCACTACTATAAAATTATTTTATATTATTTATTTTGTGTGTGTGTGTGTGTGTGTGTGTGTGTGAGAGAGAGAGAGAGAGAGAGAGAGAGAGAGAGAGAGAGAGAGAGAGAACATGTAGATGTATGAGTGTGTATGAGTGTGGCATACATATGTACAGTATGGGCACATGTGCAAGAGGTTGGGTATCCTGTTTTCTCGCTCTCTGACTTATGCCCTTGCAACAGGGTTTCTGACTGAACCTGGAGCTCAGCTGGTGGTCAGCTGCCCACCCGCCCCCCCCCCCCCCCACCTTCCTGTGTCCATCCCTCCTCCAGAGTGGTATTACAAGCCTGTGACACACCCAGCTCTTTTACACATGTCAGGATCTAAAGTCTCATCCCCATGCATGAGCAGCCAGCACTTTTACCCACTGAGCTATCCCTCCATCCCCCACTGCATCATTTCCTGCCTCATCCTCCTGCTGGCTATGGTGGATCGAGCAAGACCTTGGCACCTTCTTCAGGTGGCCCTGCTCCTCCCAGGTGCCCCTCCCAGGGTTGCTGCTACAGTGTTATCAGAAGCTTGGGGGTCATATCTGAGAGAAAATTGTCCCAAGTTCTCCCCTGAGTGAGAAAGCCCAGGGCATCAGCTGCCTCGATTGTCCAGACAACATCACGGTGAAGTTCAACTGACCTCCAAGCTCCCGCCTTTGTTCCGATGACCCCTGTTTCCATCAAAAATAACGGGTTGCTGATAATCTGGCCCTCTGCTCTGCTGCTCAGATGGTAGACTTGGGATCTGCACTCAGAGCCGGCCTCTCAAGTCTTAAGAGAGCCCTTGTGCTCTGTATTTTGACAGGTTGAGAAATCCAATCCATTTATTTTGAAAACCCATTAAACCCAGCCAACGCGGGATATTTAGAAAGGCCAGAACTTTGCTTTTGGTCAGAAGGTCACTGCTGTCATAAAGGAAGTGAAACAAAACATATTTTATCGAAGGGCTGTAATTCCCAAACATTCTTTAAAAATACGCTCTCAGTAAAATGAGACACAACAAAAGCACACTGGATTGAATTGCCGGAAATCGCCACCACTGTAGGCCCTCTTTGTTCAGGCGACTTATTCAATTTTGCATCCTCAGTTCTCAGACCCCATGAGAGGCACACAGTCAGTGCTTAATAAATGCCTGCTGAGGGAGTCTCAAAATGGTTTGCATTGCTGCTTACATTGTTCTCGGCCTTGGTAGCTCTGTTCCCGGTGACAGGTAAGGATGGAGCTTGTGATTTCAGGGTCTTTTGAAAGCGCGTTCAGGAATATGTGATTGACTTGTTCCTGCCTTCTTGAGTCATGCTATTGATAATACAGGTAACGGGCTTTGGTTAACTGGATTCTCTAAAGATAATCCGATTGGTCTTTTTGACCTTGGGAAGAGGCCAGGAGAGAGGTTATTATTTTTGTGTTACCTTTAGGAAGGGGGCCTAGGTATAGATCACTACTTGAAAGAAAATAACCTTATTACAGGTGATCCCGAGTGTGTAATGTTCAGAACAGGCTATAAAATCTTCTTTGATCTTCCTACCACGAACCTTTTCACTTCATTGTCCCTCTCTAATGGGCACCTAGAGGTCTCTCTCTTTAGTTCTCTCCTTGTTCTCTCCCCGTATCGCCGGGATCTTTTCCCCTATTCCTTCAGGCTCCACCCTGGAGAATTACTAGATGCCCTCAAGGCTCCCAGCATGACTGCCTTCACCATGACGAGGTGGTAATAAGTCCTAACCAAACATCTAATATTTCACTGGTTGTCACAAGGAAGAAATTTATTTTTATTTTTTATTTTCTTGAGACACTCACTATATAACCCCAGTTGGCTTGGAATTTACTATACAGACCAGGCTGGTTATAAACTTGTGGGTAATCCTCCTGCCTCTGCCTCCCAAGTGCTGGAATTATAGGCATTGAGTCTCCATACCCACAAGAAGAAAACTCAAGACCTGAGACCAGAGCAGACTTTTAGAGTCTGGAGAGAGACCCAATCAATAGAGTTCCCTTTCTCTGCCTGAGTTGTGAATGAACTCAGAAATAAGACTAACAAGCCAGCGGAGGGAGGGACTGTGAATGAGACATTAGAGAATACGGTTTATAGCTGTAGACAATTAGCATTCTTAATACAGAATCTTGGAGGCAGGTTTTCCAATAGTTGACTAGGCCAGGCTGGGTCAGGCTGCCCTTTGTTGGGGCAGGCATCACCCAGATGGTACTGTTCAGTTTCTCCCCTCAAATCTCCAAAACAATGCTTTTTCCCATGACGGGGGGCTGAGTGGAGAGCTGGAGAAGTCAGCGACACTGCCTTTACAGGGTCCCTTCTCACGAAGCATCATCCGAAAGAATAATAATTTTTTCTTGCCAGGATGCCATGTTTTATTGCCTCATTTTGTGTTTAAGAAGGGGCCAGCGAGAGGGCTCAGTGGGCTAAGGCACTTGCCACTAAATCCACTTACCTGAGTTCAAGTCTCAGGTTCCACTTGATGAGAGGAGAAGAGAAACTCTTGCAAGATGTCCTCTAACCTCCACATGCATGGTGTGAAAATGTATGTATACACACAATCACACACATACAAACACACACACATACACATACAAATAGATACAATAATTTAAAAAGAAAATTCCATACCCATAAAAATAAAAGTCCATTTATTTGGACTTTCTTGGAAATCTAGAATGGCCTGAAGACCAGCACCAAGCCTAGTTTCTCCACAGCACCGAAGTCTGGGAACTGAGCAGACAGTGTATGACCTTCAAAGAGATAACGGTTCCTCGGGTAGGTGGCTGGCTGGGCACACAGATCAACGGGTTAACCTTGGGCGTTTCCCATTTCCTGCTGGTGTAGCTCTCCCCACTTCTCACCAGCCTTCTAAGCATTTTAATTTCCTACCTGTACCTTTTCTTGTTCAGATGTAGAGTGCAGTTTCTTACTGGACCAACAACGCTATCTTTGTCAGTATTGCCCATTTCTGTGCATTATTGTATCCTTTCAATGCATGATTTAGCTTATCAAAGTCCCAATCTTTTTTTTTTTTTTTTAATCCTACTTATAACAAGCCCTCTTCCCTGGCAGAGATGAGGCTTTTTTGGGAGAGGACAGAGGAGATGAGGTACGGGAACTCCTAGCCTCCTGGCCTACTAAACAAATGAAGAAACCAAAGCTGGGCGTTCAGGAGTTGGACACGGTGGTGTGCAGGCGGAAGGCACCGTATGGCCCTGTGATGTCCCCTGCTGCACGGCACCCGTGGTCGTTTCTGCTTTACTGAGCACCACTGATCCAGATGAACAACAGTTGCACCCCGGAGTGCGAGTTTCTGAACTATACTTTGCCTCCCTGGGGTGACACACTGGGTGGAGGTTCCAGATGATCACACGGATGAAAAGAAGCAGTCAGAATGAGAGGAGGCAGCCAGGAGCTTTGGGCCTCAGCATCCACCATTCTGGTTCTTGCAGAACTGCAAAGGCAATGGTTCAGGAAAGAGAAGGCTACCCAGAGCAAGTCGGAACTCACTCATGAGTTCTCCTATCCTATCTGCCATCTGCAGGGCATACCTCAAAAATTCTGGGGACAACTGGGGACAGTAGTTCACAGATGCAAACCCAGCACTTGGGAGGCGGGGATAAAAGGATCATGATTTCAGGGCCAGCCTGAGCTACATGAGACCCTAGTTCATAAAACAAAACAACTCTTTCAGCCAGAAACACTGTCTTCCAGCAATTTGCCAAGATGACAAACACAAAAAGAGACAGCCGTCTAATGTGTGTTCTCTTGGCCTTTCAGAGAACACAGAGTTATTCCTTTGGCCACACACATCTACAGGAAGGATGAGGTTGTAAACATCCATGGAATGGAATGCCCTGGAGATGTTCCCATGGCAAACCTGGAAGAGTCCACAGTGTCACCCGGCATGCTGTTGACATTGCTGTAAACAAGAAATTTAAGGGCACAATTGTCAGAAGAATAAATGCGCACCCTGAACATACAATGTACTTTGAGAACCCAAAGAATGTCCTTAGTCAGAAACAGGGAAGCAGAAGAAGAGGGCAACCCTGCTCAACTGAGGCACCAGCCTGCCCTGCTTTAAGAGCTAATGGGGAGCGGCCCCAGCAGCGGGAGCCTTTGCTTGTGGCTTCCTAGATACAGCAAATAAATAAACCCAAAAGATCTCTAGACTGCAAACAAAACAGAAAAGGATAAATCAGAAGGACAGATGGCTACAAGGATGAGCGGACTGGTGGACAAGAAGATAGATGGACGGCTAGATGGGCGTGCAGATCCATGGAGTCATCTGCGGGCTCATGATGCTCTTCTCTGATGTGGAGGGAAACACTAGGTAGTTTTTAGAGTCCTACTTGTAACACTTGAAGTTCAAATGCCCAGGCTGAACAAACACAGATACTCCAACACGGAGGAAGTGCCGCAGATTAACCCCGGGCTCCATGGTCGCTTGCTCCTTGTAAATGCCTCTGAGCTGCTGCTTCTTTAGGTCTAAGGTGATGATAGTACCTTCCTCAAAAAGCCTACTAAGAGTTAATGAAATTACTTTTTGGAAAATACCAATTACCCCATACCAGGCAGACAGGAAGAAGGAGGGAAGTAGCAAGAGATTGAGAGGCGAGATTTCTGTTTTCTATCAAGCATCTGCTTAGCTTATCACAGGAGTTAGCTTGCAATCAAGTTAGCTAGCAAGCTCAGGGCAGGGAGAGGCCTCTGTTGAGGGTGGCCATAGGACACACTCCTGTAGGTGCAGTTAAGCATCCCGGTAGGTGTTGCATCCCAGTGGGTGCTGTGTTCTGGTGGGTGCTGCATTCTGGTGGGTGCTGCATCCCTGTGGGTGTTGCATCCCAGTGGGTGCTGTGTTCTGGTGGGTGCTGTGCCCCAGTGGGTACTGCATTCTGGTGAGTGCTGTGTTCTGGCGGGTGCTGCATTGCAGTGGATGCTGTGTTCTGGTGGGTGCTGTGTTCTGGCGAGTGGCTATGAGAAGAGAGTGGCCTTCTGGATGAAGCTGTTGAGGAAGGCACAGGGCAGAGGACAGGAGAGGAGGTTAGAAATGATTCCAGGGAACCACCAAAGGGAACAAAGCAGGCGTGGTTGTGCCGTTTTTGGCCACAGCAAGGAAAAAGATGGCCAAAATCAGAGCTGCTTGTCAATTTCTTCCCAATAAGACGCTCTCCTAAGAAGACACTGCATCAGGAGTTTTCCACTGAGTCCCACTTGGGGCTGTTGTACTTGTCACCTACACCTCTCAGAGCCTCGCCTTTCATTTGTGAAACAGGAAGAAAAGGCCAGGTGGTGGTGGTGCCACGCCTTTAATCCCAGCTGTTGGGATGCAGAGGGAGGTGGATCTCTGTGAGTTTGAGGCCAACCTGTCTACAGAGTTCCCAAAGCCACCCAGAGAAACCCCATCTTGGGTGAGGGAGGGGAGAGGTAGAAAAGAAAAACGGGAAGAAAAATTTTATTCGTCTTTCTAGCCTTGCGATAGGAACGGCCGTAGGACAGCTCAGTTCCTCAAGTGCTCGCCCCACAAGCACAAAGGCCTGAGTTCAATCCCCAGAACCCACATTTAAAAGAGAAAAAAAGCCCTGCCCAGGGGGACAAATTTATAATCCTGGTGCTAAAGAGGCGGGGATGAGTGAATATTTGGAGCTTACTGGTTGTTCCCAGGCCTCCACATGCACACAAACATACATGCACATGAGTGCCCTTGACACTCTCGACACTCTCACATGCACATAGACAGAATTTAAAATGTTAAAGAAGACCTTTGTAAACAATAAAGCACTGGTACGTGTAAGCTTCCAGCTGCTGACAGCTTTTCACCCGGCAACAGCAGAGAGGCTTCAAGCGCAAAGCAAACCAGTTCACTGCTGCCCAAGGGGCTCCTGCTTACATCCAATAGTCAGGCTGGGTGTGGTAGCTCATGCCTGTAGGGCCACCTACCTGGAGGTTGAGGGAGTAGGCTTGCTTCAGCCCAGGAGCTCAAAGCTAGCTTGTCAGCATCCTGAAGGCTCTATCTGAATCAAATGACCCAGTCCTCTTGTCTTGATCCCTGAGATCCACTACAGTGGACTTGGGGCACCTGTCCACCTCTTCGTTTGCCATTTCAGTCAATGACCTGACACCCTGGCTCTGCTCAGGGTCAGACCCTTCCTGCCCAGCATCTTTACTCTTTCTGTTACTCAGGAAGAGAGTCTTGACCATGGTTGGCGCCCTGTTGTGATCCAGATCTTCTCTGGGACACTATCTTCTGAAAGAGGAGACTGCTCTTGTACCAGCTATTCTAAGGAATTCTTTTCGTTCATTTTTATGTAAATGAGTGCTCTATCGACTTTATGCCAGAAGAGGGCATCAGGTTCCACTAGAGATGGTTGTGAGCCACCATGTGGGTGCTGGGAATTGAACTCAGGACCTCTGGAAGAGCAGCCATTGCTGTTAACTGCTAAGCCATCTCTCCAGCCCCAGTATTGTCCACTCTTACACCACCTCATCTGTTCAGTTATGGTCTCTCACTTTCTTCCATTTTTATCATGGAGTTTATCACTATAAAAATATACCTTGATTATTTATCATTTGTTCCTTCATGGTCTCCCTCTTCCTTCCCTAATACAAATTCCTTCAGGGAGAATTGGGTGTGTCTGAGCCACTGACCCACCATGTCATGGGTGGTTCTGACACACCAAGATGTGCTCTGCAGACGCTCGTGGCTGAGTTCAGCTGTAGTCTCTCCCATCTGAGAAGCCTTCAACACAAGCCAAACATTTTCTTGCTACAGGAAAAGTCTCCAGCAGTCCCCACAAACCAGGAGCTCTGACTTTAACTCCTGCTGTTTCAAAAATCATGAGTGAAGGCGTCAGAATACCACCAGGAAGGAGCCCAAATCACAAGCTTGGCCTGTCCACTGTGAGACCAGTCCAGGCAGAAACATGCCAAGCTCATGGGCACTGCAGAGGTGGCTCAGTGGGTAATGTACTTGCTGCACAAGAATGAGGACCTGAGTTCAAATCCCCAGAGTCCCCACAAAGTGAATCATGGTAGTGTATAGTCCCAGTGCTCCTATGGCAAGACGGAGCAGAGACAGGAGAATCCCGGAAGCACTTGGGTCAGCTAACCAACCTGCCATCTGCCACAGCTAGCAAAGAAAACCTCAAGTCAGTTCAAGGCGAAGGTGAGACTGACACCTGAGATTGTCTTCTGACCTCGCAAGCCAGCTCTGGCATACGTGTCGCTGCACTTACATACATGTAAACACGTCATAAATACCCACAGCTCTCCGTCCCACATGCAGAATGCCAAACTCACAGTTGTAGGACCAAACAAGAATGAGAGCGATGGCTGCCCAAGAGGAAATTGAGGACTGGAGTCAAGGGGGGCTCTTAGCAGACGGGAGCTGGGGGTGCGGTGGGGAGCAAATGTCGTGAGACCTTGACTAGAGCTGCCTGTGGTGTTGCTTAGTGAGGCAATTTGTGCCTGGCTGATCCACATGGTAGGGAGGTGCCGGCAGAGCCATGACCCCAAGCTTCTGCAAACTGCTGCTGCTGCGGCTTAATGAGCCAGTCAGCCATTCAAGTGCCTCCTACCTTGTGGCCGCGCTTGCAAATTGCGCAGCTAAAGGAACGTACTGGAGAGCAGGGGAGCTGATCCTTGACCAAAGTCTTCACTTCCGGCCCACTCCACACGGCTTTTCGACCTTAGTGTCTGCCACCTGTCACTGCAGCTGTGGCGGCTTCTTCACCGTTCTTCTAGTCGACTGTGTCCACAC